GTCAGCTGATCTCAGTAAAGAGGGGAAGGTAGGGTTCACTCAGTCACCTTAACATTAGTCAACAGCTGATCTATATTTCTCCTTCCTCTTCTCCTTATAAGCCTTGTTGTGCCTAGTGTCTCTGAGCCATTTGCTTTTTCTGGAATCAGAATGATCTCCCTATATGCATATAGAATAAGTGCTCACAATAAACCTTCTGTTCAAATTTGGGTGAGCTGTGATTATTTTTAACATATCCAATTAGGAATATAATTCCAAGGGCCCTAAAAAAAATCAGAGCCCGGAGCAGAAACCAGTCTCAGGAGGCAGCTAGGATTGGTTCTACTTCCTCAAAAGGAAAAACAAGTAAGTCTTGGGGCTGGGGCAAAAACTCAGAGCAGGCAGTTCTACTGAAACCGGGAAGAACTCGAAACTAGGCTGAAGGCAGAGGTACCTAACCAGAGGGAACCACAGAAGCATTTGGAGGTCAACACAACACAATTTAGAGAGCCGAGAATCCTGTGAGGGATCGAGAAGATCCACACGGCGCAGTTACCAACCATCACTTTTCCCGTCAGCAGCAGCAGCAGCAGCTGGAACACTCAGTTGCTTCCTGTGTCCGGCCAGCAGCAGAGTCAGGTTCCTGTGAAAACTCACCGTTGAATTAGCTGAAACCATCTGTCGTTATTGTTTTACTTACCACAGTAGGTGTACCAAATACTTATATCCGAGGAGTTGCAGACCCAGCGTGGCTCCCCAAGCTCAGTAAATACAGAAGGAAACAGGGTGGAAAAAAGCACAAATTGGAACATGACTGAAAATCTCCAAAACTTCAAAAATGAAAGGAGGATAGCTAAGTAATCATCAGACGCTTCTCTTTCACTAAGCAGAAAAGATTTAGTCACCAGTCATGTGATTTCTGAGTTCCCATTTGACAATTTCCTCCTTTGTGCGCGTCTGTTTTAATATTTGAGCACTTCCTGTAATGGAAGAAAGGAAAACTAATCAGAATTTGCCTTTTTGAACACTTAATGCAATGAGAGTGACTGGAGCTTTAAAAACAAAACAAAACACTTCCCCGTCAACAGTAACAAAACCAGTCCTAGGGCTCCTTTAGAATCTCAACGGTGCTGCTTTTCCATTTGCAATACTATTCTCTCCAATAGCTCTTTATACAACAATTATTCATGGCCTGGAAACCAGGATCCAGAGAGCTGAACCGAACACAGTTTCATGCAAACTATTTCTGCTCAGCAACATGTTTAGCGACAGGGCAGGGGAGGGCTGGACAAGACCCCAGACATGGGACACTTGCTGTAGTGCTCCTCTGTGGGTGTGGGATTTACCAGTCCTCTGCCCCTATAGGGTCACTATGAGTCAGAATCAGAATTAAGTCAATGGCAATGGGTATTTCTGCCCCTGCCAGCTTTGAGAATGCACTCATCCGCGGCAAATACAGCTCAAAGCAATGTTTTGAGTCCTGATAATGGTCATTATTTTGTATGCAATATGCATTTCATTTCAAAGCTCTCACTCTGTTTTAGAAAAGTAGCTAATCCTTTACATGCTTTGCTACTTGAAATCCCTTTATAGGATATGGTTTTGAGGTTAGTAGCCAAAAATGGCATAACTCCATATCTAGCTGGAGCCTAAAAATCTAAAGTTTTAGAGGAAATTAATCATATGTTGGTAAAAGGTATAGAACTGTGCCACTTTCCCATTTCTAAAAAAGGCAAAAACCCAGATTGTAGTCTCAAAATATCATTTCCAACTAAAAGGAACCAGGACTCCTTGGGGAAACAGCTGATTCCAGGTCGGTGGCAGAAAATGTACAACATGAGCCTGGAACATTTTATCATATTAGATAGCCAATTTGAAGAGGGCCCCATTGACCAAAGAGGGATGTATCAGTTTCCTACTGCTGCTGTAACAAACTTAGTGGCTTAATACAATGCAAATGTATTCTCTTATAGAGCTGGCAGTCAGAAGTCAGAAATGAGTTTCACTAAAGTCATCAGAGCTGGTTCCTTCTGGAGGCTCTGAGGGGAGAATTTTTTCCTTCCCTTTTTCAGCTTCTAAACCCGTTGCCATCGAGTCAATTCTAACCCAGAGTGACCCTATACAGGACAGAGTAGAACTGCCCCATCGGGTTTCCAAGGAGTGGCTGGTAGATTCGAACTGCCAACTTTTGGTTAGCAGCCATAGCTCTTAACCACTATACCACCAGGGTTTCCATTCTGCTTCTAGTGGCCACTGACATTCCTTGGCTAGTAGCCCCTTCCTCCATCTTTGAAGCACATCATTCCAATCTCTGCTTCCGTTATCACATCACCTTTTCCTCTAATCTCGTCTCCCTCTTATAAGGACTTCTGTAATTATATTGATTTACTCGTATAATCCAGGATAATCTCCCCATCTCAAGATACTTAACCACATCTGCAAAGTCCCTTTTGCCATATAAAGGGCCAGGGATTCAAACATGAACATTTTAATCAAAACCAAAAAGCCAAACCCACTGCCGTTGAGTTGATTGCAACTCATAGCAACCCCATACAACAGAGTAGAACTGCCCCATAGGATTCCCAAGGAGCAGCTGGTGGATTCAAACTGCCGACCTTTTGGTTAGCAGCCAAACTCTTAACCACTATGCTACCAGGGTTTCCAAGGGGGGGCCATTATTCAGCCTACCACAGTGGGACTATATGAACACAGTAAGATAATAATTCCAGTGAATTAAAACACATCAAATATGTCTAAATTTACAAGCTCATAATAATTTTTTCTAAGTCTAATTGGTCATTCTGAGATGATGCTAGGAAACCAACTCTATTTTGAAAATTGGTAAATAAAGGGAGAAACTCAAGCATTTATCCTGACTTTTCTATACAAACTGAACTACTAACTAACCAAATAGTAGAGGAGGAAAGTTTTTCTTACCTTCTTTTACTCTTCTACCTATAGAAGTATTCCAGCTAATAAATGAAAAAGGAATAATAGAATATAACCATTTTGCAACACCTAATGAATTAAACAATCTAGGCACTGAGCATCGAGGGTTGCTAACATCACAAAGAGAGAGACAAAAAGACCTCTGAACCTCCTGATGGAAGAACACTGTGGTAGCTAGCCTCCAAGATGGCTCCCAATGAGCCTTACCTCCTGGTATTCATATCCTTATGTAGTCCCCTTCCACAGTGAATGAGGCTGACCTGTGTAACCAATAAAATATTGTACCATAACAGGGTAGGTCATAAAAGACATTGTGGCTTTCCCCTTGCTCTCTTTTGGAACGCTTGCTCTGGGAGAAACAAGCAGCCCTAAAGAGTGATCCATGTAGTGAAACACTGAGGCCTCCAGCCAAAAGCCAGCACCAACTTGTCAGTTGTGACCCCTCTTGGAAGCATGTTCTCCTGGCTCAGTCAAGCCTTTAGATGACAGCAACACCAGCTGACATCTTGGCTACTACCTCATCAGAGACCCTGAGCTAGAACCACCCAGTTAAGCCACTCCTGAATTCCTCACTTATAGTTACTGTACAATATAATATGTGTTTATTGCTGTTTTAAACTTCTAAGTTTTAGGGTAATTTGTCATTAAGCTATAGGTAGCTAATACAAACAATATCATCTGTGAGGTAGCCTTGTCCAGAGTAATCAAACCTGAATCTGAGAAAGCCTCAAGATACAACTACAAATTTACCGGAAATACAGAAGTCAGAGGAAAATGTTAAACTACACCATGGGGATGCAATCCGAAAAATCTAGACCGTAAGAAGATCTAAAGGACAAACAACTCAGTTTCTTCATTTGCAAGGGAACACACACGCATACACAGTGAAAGAAATGGAGGGGTCCATAGATCAGAAGAGTCTTAAAAGAGATTTCAGAATCACAATGTGTGAACCGTATTTGGATCGTGTAACAGTTAAGGTTGTGTGTCAGCTTGACTGGGCCATGATTCTCAGTGGTTTGGCAGTTATGACGTAGTTTGGCAGCTATGTAATGATGTAATCATCTCCACGATGAGCTCTGATTTAATCACCTCCATGATGAGATTGGCTATGAGCAGCCAATCAGTTGAAAAGGGGTTTCCTTGGGTGGGGGGAGGGGGCCTGCATCCAATATAGGTGGACTTCCTGGCAAAGCTCACTGGCTTTTGCTCTGCTCTGGATCCTGCATTAGCTCATCATCATCTGACTTCTGGTGCTTGGGACTTGAGCCAGCAGCCTGCCATCCTACTTGCCGAACTTGGATTCATCAGCCTCCGCAGCCTATGAGCCAGAAGCCTGCCATATGACCTGCCGATTTTGGGTTTGTCAGCCCCTGCAGCTACATGAGTTGGGAGAAGCCTCCAGCCTGACACCTGACCCACAGACCTGGAACTTTCCAGCATCTACAACCATGTGAGCCATTACCTTGATATAAATCTCTCTCTCTCTCTCTATATATATATGTGTGTGTGTGTGTGTATAACATATATATACATATATATAAACCAAACCCATTGCCATCGAGTTGATTCCGACTCATAGCGACCCTATAGGACAGAGTAGAACCACCCCATAGTTTCCAAGGAGCAGCAGGTGGAGTGATAGATCACTTTTGTGCCATGGTCTTGTAACTCCTACCCAAGTGATTGAGTGGGACTGTGCAAATAGAGTAATCGTGGCCCACCAAGGGGATTGGTCAGTTTTGCCATCCCACTGGGCTTGAAATGAACCGTCCCAGAGCCGGGAAAGGGAGGATCCTATCACCACCGAGGAAGGACAGCCAGGAGCAGAAAGTTTGTCCTTTGGACCCGTATCCTTACACTGAGAAGCTCCTGGAATCAGGAGACCGAGAGAGAGGATTGTAACCCTGAAGACACCAAGGAGTGGTGGGAGGAGAGACCAGCAGATCATGCGGTGGGCTTCCCGGCCCAAGGAGCAAGAAAGCTAAGTGCCTGGGGTGCCTCAGAGCACTTATTAGCAGGGGCTAAAAGACCTTTCTAACACTTGCCTGAGCAGGGCAGAGGCCTAGGGCCAGAGAGAGGTGTGCCTGCAAGCACAGCTGAAAAGAGGCTGCCCTGGTGGAAGAACTATGTCCTGAGTGTTCCAGCCTGAATTGCAACCTGTTACTTCCCTAATAAACCCTGTAATAATGAGTACTGTCTGTGAGTTGTGTGTGGCCATTGCAATGGATTATTGAACCCAGCAGAGAAGTAGACAGTGTCACGGGAGGGACGGTTGGTGTCAGAATTGGGAGAGATGGCGAAGAGAGGAGGCATGTCTGACCTCTGCCTCATAGGAGTCAGCCTTGGGCTGTTGATCTTAAATCTCCTTCCCCCTTGGGAAGTTAGGTCAGACACTGCCCCCATGCCATTTTTATGGGAGAATCCAGCCTAAGACAGACCATGATCCAAATGTTAAAAAAAAAAAAATCATGAAATAATTGAAAATTTGAACATACTGGGTATTTGATAACATTAGGGATGTTTCTAAGATATAATGGATGATACTGTGGGTTCTTTTTAAAGAAGTCCTTACCTTGTAGAGTTACAAAATTGCATATTTAAGAAAGAAATGTTAGGATGTCTGCTTTACTTAAGAGCAACAGGCAGGGAGAAGCCCAACCTGAGGGCCGAGTCAGCACCAATGTGGGTGAGTTGACAGTCTATCCAGTTGATCCTAATGAAAGGTGGGCTCTGAGTCTCAGAAAGACTAAAGGAGGTAGACAGCAAACACTTTTCTGCTTCAAGCTGTGTCCTGTGAATAAGCTTCTAGCAGCTTCAGACTCGAATAATCTTTCCCTGTGATCTAGAGATGCCCTGCTGCTTCTCCGGCACCCTGCCTCATACACACACGAGCCATGAAGATTAAGTTCGCCATCACGGCTGGCGACAGGAGACCTCAGGCAGCTCCATGAAGACTGGGCGTTTTGTTAACTGTGACTCTGGCAACTAGCACAGTACCTGACATACTCTAGGCACTCAAAAAATACCTAATGATCTAAAGAGCATGGTTTGTCGCCTACTGCTCCTTCCCAAATGGCTGAAAATCTTTCACAAGAATAAATGTTCCTTTTACAATCAGAAGTACAAAGTTTAAAATGCAAGTGTTTGGTAGAGTAGACATCACTGTTTTATAGAAGGTACTGTCCATCTGTTTAGTACAAATGACTGTTCTACTCTGATAGGGTACACGAAGGAAGACAGCACAGACGAACAAATGGGACCACCAAAGACACTGTTTGTATCACAATTTCCTGTAACCACACTTTCAATTGTACATGAAGATTCTTACTATTGAGACAAAGCCCCTACAGTGTTGTATTAAAAATCCTGTTTCCTTTGCCTGGCTTCCTCGCCGACAGTGTATTGAAAAATCCTGTTTCCTTTGCTGGGCTTCCTCCCCGTCCCAGCTTTGTATCTGAATCCTGCTGTTGCTTGGAGGTTATACGTAAACCCCACTGCACCTGCGTAGTATGATTAAGAATGTTGCTGATGAACCTTGTATGAATTCCCTACTTGGAAACCCCTTTAAAAGTAACTTGCCTGCCAGCCCTTGGCGAGCAGTCTTGGCAGCAGCAGCTCCAACTGACTCCTTTTCCTTGTACAACGAAATAAAGGTGTTTTTCCTGTTCTCCCACCTCAGTCTCTTGTTTACTGGCCAATACGAGCCATGCCGAGCAAGAACCTGGGGTTTCCACCTGGTAACACTATAGGCAACCATGCCAGAGGAGTTAGGCAAAAACTTGTGCTATGAACCAAAGAAGACAGATTAATATTACTTCCCATCATTTGTGAATGTTAAAAAATGTTTTTTAATGTGGGAAAAGATAGTATCTACTCACTTAGAAAACATCCAAACACTAAGAAAAAGGTAACTCCCCTGTTTACCTCTGACTTACAATCCCATGGCTTAGAGGCAACCATGCTTATTATATACATAGCATTTATAAAATAATCCATGTATACACCAGCATATACATATATATTCACATACTTTTTTAAAACACAAATAGAAAAATGCATGTTTTGTTTTTCAAACATAGCTTATTATAAAGGATCATCATTCACTGAAAATTAACTAAAAGCTCTGTTTGATAGGATTTGAAAGCGTTTTAGCAGTCACTAACAGATACAAAAGTAATGGCAATTTTATTATTGTACATTGAAAGATAAATCACACTTAAGCACAGACATAAAAATAACAAACTCATTTCTCATCTTTAAGCTGTTTCTTTTCACTAGCTTCTTCCATATCAAAAGTGAATGGTTTGTCATAACCCATTAGATGGTTATAGTCTTCAGGGTTTGGAAAGAGCACTGGATTAACTAATAATGATTTGGTTTTAGCATAAAATGTGGTAAACATATGTGTGCTGTCTGGAATCTTCACGTCATTCTGGCGAAACACTGTACTCGTCTCTGAAAGCACGACACTGTAAGTAATGGCTTTATAAGTGTCTGTTGTGGCCTCGTGGTACAAGCGAACGACATAGCCTTTTGTAACAAAGTGAAGCAGCACCGGAGTGATCACTGTAAAGCTTCCTATGATGCCATAAAATAAGATCTGCAAAGGCAGACTTCCAAATATAATATTATTTTGTGCAAAAATATATGGTAGAAAAGCAAGGCTGATGGCACTTGTAGAATAAGAGAAACACTTCACACCTAAATGGGAGAAAAAAAAAAAAAGGAGGGGGTTAATACTTACACGTTTTATAAAAGAATCAATCTATCCTACTAGCTTTTCTATCTTTTTTCTTACTGTATCTTCATCAAAACAACAATAAAACCAAAACACACATATAGTGCTTATTACATGTCAGGCTCTGTTTTAAGCACTTTACAATTTTATTCATCAGACAAAGCCCGATGAAGCATATGTATAATTATTATTACCATCGTACCCATCTAACAGATGAGAAAAATGAGGCACTCACCCAACATCTCATAGCTAGCAAATGACCGAGATGGGACTCAAACCCAAGCAATCTGGCTCTGGAGCCCATGTCATTGACTGTTACAAAGCACTGCCTCTCTAGGCGGGAAACTGCTTTAGGGTTAAATGGCCCCTAGCTCGGTTCCCCAGTAAAAGATTTAATATTATTCAAAGATCTTTGTTAATACTATAAAGCTGATTCATCGGCATATCGTCAAATAAGACTTTCTGTTAACAAGCACTTCCACATATCTAACATACAATAATCAAACATGGGAACTTTATCAGGCTAAGTGCCAAGGACCGAAGCAGCAAATCCCCCAAAAAATAACACCAGTGGCTAAAAAATATATGGGAAAAGTATTCAGTTTCTCTAGCAAGAAGAACATTCAATTTAAAAGTGTGATAAAATTTTTATCTATCACATTAAATGACTTAAAATTTAATTTTTATTAGTTTTAACTTATAATTTTAACATGATCCCAATAAAAATATCATCTTTTTTTTTAACATAGACAAGTTGAGATCCTGGGCAAGTTGATTATAAAATTCATTTAGAAGAACAAAAAAGCAAAAAAAAAAAAAAAAAAGAGAGAGAAAAAGCAACAAGGAGGTGGTTAGCCTTCCCAAATATTAAAACATAATATAAAGACTCTATTATTAAAACAGTATGGTATCGTTATAGAAATAAACACACAGATTAGTGGAACAAAATCCAGTTGCAATAAACCCAATTGCATAAGGAAATATAGTTATTCGATAAAGGTAAAATGTAAAACCAGTGGGGAAAAGACAGACTTTTTAATAAGTGATGTTGGGACAACTAGGTAGCCATATAGAAAAAAATAAAATTCAATTCATCCATCATAACATATACCAGAAATATTCCAAATAGTCCAGAGATATAAATGTAAAAAACAAAATCATAGAGCTACCAGAAGAAAATATTCATGAAGTCCCTTATAATCTGGGAATGGAAAAACTTTTCAATTTATGATTCAAAATACAGAAGCAATTAGAGAGAAAGACTGATACATCTGACTACATTAAAAAGATGTACAATGATATAAACACCATAAACACAGTAAAAAGACAAATGAGAAACTAGAAAAAATATTTGCAGCTTCTATCACAAAAGGTTCATATCCCAAATATGTAAAAGGTTTCTAGAATATGAGAGAAAAAGACTAACTCTATACATATATACAAACATACAAGATATATGAGCAGAAAGTTCATAGAAATAAAAACACACATGGCCCTTAAAGAGGTGAAATAATGCTAAACCTCATTCATAAGAAACATGTAACTAAAACTACAGTAAGTGTTCTAGGTTGATTTGTGTCCCCCAGAAGGTATGTCCAAGTCCTAGCCCTGGTATCAGTGAACTTGACAGTATTTGGAAATAGCATCTTGGCAGATGTAATTAGTTAAATGCGTACGAAGTCATACTGGAATAGGGTGGCCCTAATTCAATATGACTGGTGTTCTTAGAAGGGACAACAAACAGAGACACACAGAGGGGAGACAGCCACATAAAGATGGCAGCAGAGATTTCGAGTTACAATGCAACAAGCCAAGGAATGCAAAGGCTACCAGAAGCTGGAAGAAACGAGGAAGGATCTTCCCCTAGAGCCTTCAGAGAGAGCATGGCCCTGCTAACACACTCAATTCCGACTTCTAGTCTCCAGAGCTGTGAAGGACTAGAACTTTCTGCTGTTTTTAGCCACCCACTTTGTGGTACTCTGTCATGGCAGCTGTAGGAAAATAATACAGTAAGATGCTGTTTTCCACCCAAATTGGCAAAAACACAAAAGTCTGACAACATACTCTGTTGTGAGACGATGGCAAAGCAGATAGTCCTATGCACTGCTGTTAGTAATGCAAAATCGTGTAACTGCTAAGGAGGAAAAAATGTGGCAACATCTAGCAAAATTACATCTGTATTTATGCTTCGACCCAAGCAATCCTATCTCTAAGAATCTCTATCAAAGATACCCAACCAAAATATGAAATGACATACACATGAAAATATTATAGCACTATTCATACTGGAAACTACCCAAATGACCATCAATTAAGGACTAGATAAATCAATTATGGTAGCTGTACATAATGGAACACCGTGAAGCTGTTAAAAGTAACAAGAAAGAGCTTTATGTATTGTTATGGAGTCATCTCCGGGGTACAATGTTAATGGAAAAGTGAAGGTGCAGAGCGGTGTAGGTGGTATGTCACCACTTACCTAAGAAAGGGCAGTAAGGAATAGAACACATTCTCTCTCATCGTCTCTCTCTCTGTCTCACACACACACACATCTACAAATGAAAACAGTAATCCACAGAAAAATAAGGTAGAAGGGGAGGGAAGAGGAAGAGTGAACTTTACCAAAACCTTATTAAAAAAATATCAACCATTATTCTGCCTTTCTTATAAACCCCATATTCTAGAGTACCAAATAGTTGATGAGTATAAGCTGTTTGTTTTTTAATAGAATTCCAGCTACTAAATGGAGAAGGAATGAGAAAGAATCACCATCTTGGAACCCTTTATGAAGTAATACACCTAGATAATAATCATCAATTGTTTAAACATTAGGTGAAAGGCTGATGGGCCAGGCTGACAGTATCTAAAACCATGATCAGCTGTGCATCCTGATGTGATACACAGGAAGTACAAAGCACCATCCACGGATGATTCCTGCCCAAAAAATAAAATTATGCCCTTTGGGTCAGTAGTCCCACCTCTGGGACTTTACCCGTTAAAAAAAAAAAAAAAAAAAAGTGAAACAATTTACTAGGTTAAAAGCTTTTCATTACAATGTTTTTATGATACTCAAATGCTAGGAATACCTTAAATGTCCAACAATAGGGTAAGTGATTAAATTTTAACATTTATATGCTAAAATATTGTATAGCCATCGACAATGATATGTATAAAAACATTTGGAAAATACTTTTGATACAATGCTGACAGGAAAAAAGATCAGTATACAGATTTATATATTCAAAAAAATGCAGAGAAAAAGAACTAGAAATATGCCAAAATATCTACCTCTGCTTGGTAGAATTTTTGACAATTTTTTTCCTGCCTATTTATACTTTTCCATTGTTTTTTAAAAAAAACCACATACTACTTTGCTAATCAGACAGAAAAAGATTTTACGATGTAATCTTATTTAACGAGTATAATCAATTATTTTAAGTAAATGTTGCATTAAAGTATATTTGAATACATTCAAATTAATGGAAAATGGCTAATATATCTGGTACCGTTGGGGAATCAAAGAAGCCTCCAGGTTTAAGGTTTAATTCTCTATCTTACATCACTAATTTAAAAATATTTCTTTCCTTCCTCTCACAGGCAGTTGCTAAGACATTGGAACACATGAGATACAATGAGGACCAAGTTGTCTCCTGCATGAAAAGCTGAAACTCCTCAGCGCTTCCAAACTCTCTCTTTTTTTTGCCACTACTCTTGTTACACTGTAGTGAGTAGAATAGTGTCCTCCCAGAATTCATGTCCACCCAGAACCTCAGCATGTGGCCTTACTTGGAAACAGGGTCTTTGCAGATGCATGAAGGTAAGGATGGAGATGAGATCATACTGGACCGGGGGGCCCTAAAGCCAATGAGAGTCTTTACAAGGGACAGCCAAGGACACACAGAGACAGAGAAAGAGGCAGAGATTGGAATGGTGCAGCTACAAGCCAACAAACACCAAGGGCTGCCAGAGCACCAGAAGCTGGGAGAAGCAAGGAAGGATTCTCCCCCAGGGCCTTCAAAGGGAGCATGGCCCTGTTGACACCTTAATTTCAGACTTCTAGCTCCAGAACTGTGAGAGAATGTATTTTTGTTGTTTTAAGCCACCAAGTTTGTGATAATTTGTCATGGCACCTCTTAGAAAGTGATACACACATATACTTTTATTTTGCCTAGAGCTAAGTAAGGGCTATTTTCTAAACGTATTCTGGGCTTTCCCACCTTTTCATCCCTGCTCATACTTCTGTGCCTGGGATGGCCTTCTTTCACATCTCTTCACATTCAAATTCCACTCATGTTAAAATGATGAAATGCCATCACGCTGAAGCCCTTTCTGCACTACCGCTTTCTTTCCCTAATCTGAAAATATGTATCTTCTGAAATCAAATCCATGTTCTCTCTAAATATTATAAATGATTTATTATGATTATTATGATGTATTCATCTTATCTTTCTGACCAGACACTAAGATCCTGAAGGGCAAGATCTGAAGGGCTTTATCTCTGAATCTCTCTTGCAAAGCCCCTGGCACAATGCACAGCACATACGGTATCGGTAATTATTTTTTGTTGAATTAACAACAACTGTCAACTAAAACGACCTTCAGTTGTCTTTAGACTCGGACCCGTGTGATAGTTCAGAGAACCTCCAAGATTGGCACCTCTATCTTAACATCTGTCCCTCAGCTCTACATAGAAAAAGTGTAGGATAATCCATTATATGATTGTCTATTAATCATAATATTGAAAGAATTCAAACATTAAATTCCCCTACAAGTTAAAATCATAGAATTTTGAATACCATGGACAGCTATACTCTTCCACAAATATTACATACTACCCACATCAAAATTATATTTAATTTTTTGTATTTATATGCTTCTTTTGTCCAGATGGAGTCAAGTGAGAACAAGAAATAAATTGATAAACCTTCCCTATATTTGAAGGAATGGTCTGTGTTCAGATGGAAGGGTACCGTGGGGGTCACCGTTAAAACACATCTCAATGGCATTAATCCTGGTATCCCAGGTCTGGTATGGGACACCAGGCTCAATAGTCTGCTTATATATTGTCTTCTGAAGAAATTTCCAAGCACTCAAAATCGATTATTCCAATAACTCTACTCAATCGTGATTACAATCAGTCTTTATTCTCAAAAAATTTTAAATTAGCTAAAATTGTACCTTAAACATACTCTATTTTATTGTCACAAACTTGAGAACTTACAGGCTTCCAGAGTAAGTTTTAGATGACTGCTTCACACCAACCAGCATGATCAAACACACAAATGCAAATGTGGGTGCTGAAATCTTCTGGCCATACCTGATTATAAAGTAATCCTCCACATGGTTCAGGGTACACTTTTTTTTAGATTATAAACCAGAAACACAACCTCAGGGAACTTAACATCACACACCTCACTAAGTTGTTCTGACCTTCCCTACCAAATTACTCCTTACTAAATACTAAACTACAATCTAAGAAAAGTGCTTCAAGCTCAGAGGTATTCAATATGCTGTCTTTCTCTTCTGTGATCTAACTCGCTACCACCTGGAAAACCCACTAAATGTTGAAAATTCTAAGATTATCTTAAAAATACATAAAACATGTATTTCTTTAATTACAAAAACACACTGCATGCCCATTTTGTTCCCCTACCCTACTTCCCAAAGATAACTACTCTGAAGAGGTTTTCGGCCATTTTTTTCCTCTGCATACTCAAACATTACAGAAATACATAATTTTTTTGTTTTGCTGTTAAACATTCCAAGAGAGCGGTGACCACAGCATGGAAGCTCAAGGAAAATTCACGTGATCTATGTGAATGCCCAACCATAAGCTCACAAAGTTAAAACATAGCCTTCAAAAATCTTTTTCAAACCTCCAAAAAAATGTAAAGGTCTCAATCTCTACATCTTATTAACAGGCTCCAAGAAAAAGAAATTATAATCTAATTTTTTCCTAGTGCCTTCTCATTGTTGTTGTTAAGACTCGTAGTTAAGAGAGGCTAAAATACTGTAATAGGTAAATGTATGGTAAGTGTAATTTTTACAATTAAAAGAAAAGCACATACTCCTACTTCCGATTACTCACCAAATACTGTTCGGGCCAGATTCCCAGTATAGATCAGCCTCCCGTCTTCTGATTTTTCAAGTTGTGTATGTAAACATCGAACACATCCTTCCCAACAAACTGGTATCTATTGAAACAGAGACCATTATAACGTGAGTACACAGTACTTTGCATTTAAGATCAACTATAAAATTTTTTTTTTAATTTTTTAATGCAATGCAGAGTAGAAGACAACTTATCATATGAGATGACAAAAATAATTCTCCCAAATAATTACCCAAAACCCACTGCCGTGGAGTTGATTCCAACTCATAGCGACCCCATTGGGTTTCCGAGGCTGTAAATCTCTACGGAAGCAGACTGCCACATCTTTCTCCCACAAAGCCAGTGGTGGGTGGAACTCTGACCTTCCAGTTAGCAGTAGATCACTTAACCACTGCACCACCAGGGCTCCTTAAATAATCTACAGAACAAAACAAATCAAACTGGCTAAGAAAATGGCTTTCCTTAATCCCAGTCACAAGTAGACACGTGCTTAGTTGGAGTTTGAAGACCTAGGTTTCAATCCCAACTCCTCAGCTTTTTAGATCTAGTGTAAGCTTAAATAATTTAATAGTTTAAAGTTTCTCCTATTCTGCTGTTAAATGAGAACATTGCTCTCATACGATTGTTTTAAAGATTTAAATGCATTATCTTTTCAAAATATGAATAAAAATAACAAAACACTGCAAACAGCTTTATTTACTTGAAGTCTAGACCATTTTCAATACTTCTAAAATAAATATTGTATAGCTAGTATAAAAAATAATAAGAGCAACAATTTTCTTACAGAACTTGTAAATACTTCACACTCCGTTTCTCTTAATCATTACCAAAAAAACTTACTCGAGATCTCTTATCAAATTTCGGAAGCATAAAAAGTTCCCAGAAAGTCCAAAAATGAATTTCACAGCGCACACACTTCAAAATGTAAATGGTTTGACTGATTCCTTTATGCTGAAATTTAACTGCATTCCAATCCCACTTTATGCATTTTCTCCAAGTTTCAATCAGGTTTGCCAATCCTGACATTTCACTGGGCAGGATCAGGAAATAATTTGTTCAAATTAAAGTGGATGGGTTAACGTCTACATCCCTTCCTTCCCGGAGGCCAAAACCCAAAAAAATCAAACCCACTGCCATCGCAGAGGCCAAAGGATTCCCAAAAATAGAGCCATCTAATAAAAAACATAATAGACTAGAAGTCTTTTGGTCTGTCTCCAGGTTCTGCATCCAATTTCTTTGCAAATTAACCCTTCCCAACTTCCGTTCAAGGATAGAAAAGTAGAATAAACCGAGTCATCACAAGCCCGCACTATTTGGAACCCCCTGGAAAAGTAACCACGTTCCCACGGGTACTCCTAGACTCGCTGGCGCTGTGAACCCCGGGAGCTCAAGCCGGTTCTCCAAGCCAAGGCCTGCTACTTCTGCAAGCCCTGCAGACGTCCTTCCGCACTGCGGCCAGGGGGCATGACGGAGGGGACGGAGTCTTGCAGACAGGGGTTCGACACTACGCCTACCCCCTGCCCTCACCCTCACCCCCACCCCGGCGCGCCCGGCCTCGGATGGCTGACCTGCGCTCGCCCCGGACGCCCCAGAGGCAGCGCAGCTCCCCGCAGCCCTGCGCTCCCGCCGCGGACCGGCGCCGAGGGACCGCTGCAGGAGGCCACCCGTGGGGCAGCCGCCCTGGGGTCTCGGAACGCGGCAGACGCCCACGGCACCGCCCTCTTCCCACCGAGCCGCAGTCCGGCCGCCCACCGGCCCCCCAACGCCAGAAGCAGCATTCCGCGCATGAGAAGTGGCCGGGACAGCCAGACCTCAAGAGCCCACTCCCGACCCGACGCCCCGCCCCTACAGGCCCGCCAGGCCGGATTGGCGGCGCGCGCGTGCGCGGAATACGCGGCCTTCCTGCAACCTTCCCCTCCACGTGCTGTCCCTGCGGGCTGAGATTTGAACGGTGCTGCAGTGACCTGGACCGCCCGAAAATGCCCAGCCTGTCCGCGGCTCCCCTTCCGGGAGAAGTTGGCGCCTTTCTACCGTCACACGGAGTCGCTATGAGTCGAAAATCAACTCGATGGCACCTAACAACGATAACATGACATTGTTATCAGGACAAGTGGGGGAAACCGTGTTAGAAGGACAAAGCCTTGAAGCCACAGTTAAATCATTCACTATCGTGGACGTCATTTTCTAGGCCCCTAAAAATTGTTTCCTTTGCAGAAAATGATTCTGGCCTATTGACACAGAAGGTGTAATACTTTTTTATGATATAATGTCAACAAAAATGAATGGTGAATTATCCGATCCTTGGGTTGGTAGAAGGAGCCCTGGTGGTGCAGTGGTTAAGCCATCGGCTGCTAACCAATAGATCGGTGTGCAACCCACCAGGGGCTCCACAGGAGAAAGATGTGGCAATCTTCTGCAATCTGCTTCCGTTAAGATTACAGCCTCAGAAACCCTATGGGGCAGTTCTACTGTATTCTATAGGGTCAACATATGTCAGCGTGACTCCACCACAAAGGGTTGGGTTTGGTTTGGTTTTGTAGAAAATAAATGGAAGTTGTTCCTATAATGTTGGTAACCCATAAACCCATTGCCAATTCCAACTCATATAGAGACCCTATAGAATAGAGCAGAACTACCCCCATAGGGTTTCCGAGGAGCAGCTGGTGGATTTGAACAGCTAGTCTTTTGGTTAGCAGCCAGGCTCTTAAGCACTGCGCCACCAGGGCTTCATAATATTGGTACTTGTTATCCAATCTGTCTTGGAAACTGCCGACTTTTTGGTTAACAGCCATAGCTCTTAACCACTACACCACTTTTAATATTGCTACTTGGGGCTTGAATTTTTTCTTCAGTTCTTTCAGCCTGGGAAATGTAGAGCGTGTTCTTCCGTTTTGGTTTTCTCACTCTACATCTCTGCACATTTCATTATAATACTTTGTCTTCTCAAGCTGCCCTTTGAAATCTTCTGTTCAGCTCTTTTGTCATTTCTTCCATTAACTTCAGCTATTCTATGTTCAAGAGCTAGTTTCAGAGTCTCTTCCGACATCCATTTTGGTCTTTTCTTTCTTTCCTGTCTTTTCAATAACCTTTTACTTTCTTCATGTATGATGTCCCTGATGTCATCCCACAACTCTTCTGGTCTTCAGTCATTAGTGTTCAATGCGTCAAATCTATTCTTGAGATGGTCTCCAAATTCAGGTGGGATATACTCAAGGTTGTATTTTGGCTCTTGTGGATTTGTTTTAATTTTCTTCAGCTTCAGCTTGAACTTGCATATGAGTAATTGATGGTCTGTTCTGCAGTCGGCCCCTGGTCGTGTTCTGACTGATGATATTGAGCTTTTCCGTCGTCTCTTTCCACAGATGTAGTTGATTTGATTCCTGTGTATTCCATCTGGTGAGGTCTGCCTGTAGAGTCGCTGTTTACGTTGTTGAAAAAAGGTGTTTGCAATGAATAACTCCTTGGTCTTGCAAAGTTCTACTTTGCCATCTCTGGGCGTTGTTTAGTAATGCAATGAAGAAAAGGGGAAGACAGAAAGGAAGAAAAAAGTACTTTCTGAAGTCAAAGGAGGAACAATGTGATTGCAAATGTGTCCACAGCCTCGTCTTCTACACCCCATTGCCTTTCCTCCCCACCAGACTGTATTCTGAGATACCATTACAAACAAGAAACTTTGTTTGGTAATGATTTTTTGCAAAGGCTTTGAAAGATTAACCCAAGACAGTTTGTTCCGTTTTTGCAATTCTAAAAAAGCCATACATGTCATCGGCCACATCAACTAAAAACGCCTTTCAGACAAAAGTCATTAATTCCACAAACACTTGTTCGTCTGTATCTTGCCTTTGTTGGTGTGTTACAGAACGGTGCCTAGTTGAGCAACTTGTAATGGTGTTTTGGCCTTACATTCCCTTCATGCCACAGTCCCCGAACATAGCAAAGGGTGAACTTTATTTAGCCGTTTCAGCCTTTCTGGAAAGGTGCCTGAATCTAACCACAAGAAAGCAAGTAAAAGGGTAGGCTTATGGAAGAGGGAGAAAGGCAGGGTGAAGCACAGAGGAGGCTTGGAGTGAAAAAGATGGCCCCAGAATTGAGTAATGATGACAGTCGCCTGGACTTCAGTGAGTGAGTTCCGAATGGAGAAGAACCGAGCAATTCCGGGGTTGGGAGGGAGGACGTGGGGGTGGAGGGCGTGGTTACTTGTCAGTAAACATTGAACAGTACCGGGAAGAAAGGAAGTGAAGGCAGCTATTTGCACGTGCAGTTCTGATGTTTTTCCACATCACTGCAACTTTTCACAAAGGACAGAGTCTACTTCGTAAAGAGTACGATCTTTTTCGGATACAAACCGCACTTTTCAACCTTTCCTCTGAAGACAGCTCCCCCATCTCCAGACGGACCACAAACCAGAGGCAGGCACGACCTCTAAAAACACTCAATCTTAACAGGGAAAGTGAGAAACTACAAGTCCCAGAATGCTGTGCTGCCTCGGGCCCCGACCGCCTCTCTGATAAGGATGCTGTTCCTTCAGAAATCGGAGCCGGATTGGCGCTGCATGCTGGGACTCAGAAGAGCCAGAATCGGATTGGTTGAGATTTGGTAGTGAACGCCGTTCTCCTAGGCTGGTTTGTGGAAATGTAGGAGAAGGGAGTGGACGCTGGGCACTTCCGCCAGACGCAAGCCGGCGACAAGCTCAGTGCGTTCCGCCTCACCAGGTACTAATCCCTAGCGTGTTGGCACAAGCGACCGTGACCTGGCGGAAGTAATTCCTCCAGCTGCCCCGGAACCCACGGCGGTAGGCAGCTGGGGTTGGGGGGGCGGCCCTGGAATAGGGGCTGTGGCGGTGCGTGGGGGCCCGGCTGCGGTGGCCTGCGGTGGCTACGGCACTGACGAGTGAGTCTCGGGTTGGATTGGAAACGGTGCTCCGGGACCGCGTGAAGGAGGAGGGAGACTCGTACGGGACGCATTCGCAACCCCTCTTCCCACCCCTTCCCATTTGGGCGGGGAAGAAACGGAAGCTCTTAACCTCCCCGGGCCTCCCCAACTCCTCGTGTGGGGGAGGGGAGAAGAGGGCGGCGGGACCTTTCCTGGCGCCTTTCGGTGGGCTTGGAAAGGGCTGGAAGGAGGGGCTGTGCCGGCGAGACTGGGCCTTCTCTGGACTGAGCGCAGAGAGGGGGGAGTTAGGAGCATGGTAGCACAGTCACTTTTCCATTTGGCTTTCCCGTGTGCGCTCAAATTCGTTGTTTTTTTGGAATCAGTCCCTGGTCCCAGGGGAGGGCCCTCGCTCCTTACAGCTGCGGGACCCCGAGAAGTTTACTTTCTAAGCAACTTGTTGGTTGATTTCTACCCGACTTGGCGGGTTGGATCGTTTGTGCATTTGCCTCCTAGTCCTGTTGTCTGAAAGGAGGTATCGGGTGTCAAGTACAGTTAGGGTTGAGTTTGCTTTGAGAAACTAACATCTATGTAGTGAATGTAACATAGCTGTGGAATTTGTGACCTTATTAGTGCAAGCATTTCTACTCTGCATAACTTCAGTGTAGAAACCAACTGAAATCCTTTGAAGTGTTAGAACCTCTCTTTCAAAGTGCTGTATGTATATATATATATTTTTTTGATCCCCAAATAGTTTTTTCCTTTTCTGTTAAGTGGACTAAAATGGTAAGTTTCTGATCTCGTGTATATTATAATTCACGTTATTGAAACATCGCAGTTCACATGTGGATTCATTTATTCAGGGAATATAATGGCAAGGAAATAGCTATGGGCCCTGCCATCATGGATATTTATTAAATACTTATTGCCAGTTATGATTTGGGGTTTCTATGTAATTTTTAAACGGTTATGCCTTTTCTCCTTAAATGTAAAGTTTATTTAGTAACTACCATTTACCTAGTAACTATCAAATATATATATAAATTTATTTCAAACGGAGGGAGCTAGTTTCATCACCAGATGGTCATATAATTAGGCAGTAGTTTGCAGTCAGAAGAAGTTATGGTCAGCCCTGTCTGTCAAGTTCTAAAGTAATTTTGTGTCTTCTAAAATGCTTGTTTTTGTTTTGTTTTGTTGGTAGATTTTTAAGTACTAGAAAAATAATCAGGAAAACCTTTGAATTTAAAGTCATACATGTTAAAGCATTTCAGCAAGCCTGTCCTAAGTGCTTTACTCTTCCAATAAAAAGCCCATCCAGTGATGCCTTAGGAAAATGGCAGTACCATTTGTTCAAGAAATATCCTTAAGCATCTCCTATGTGCCAGGCACTATTCTAGACACTGGGGTTATGATTAACACTAAGTCTCTGTTCTTGTGAAGATTGAAGGCAGAGTGTGTATATGTATAATTAAATATGATTTCAGATAGTGATATGAAGAAAATACAGTGACTGGGGAGGGAAGTTGTCTAATTTGAATATGTTGGTCAAGAGAGGCCTTCTTGAGGTGTTTCTAAATGATGAGGAAGAGTTGAGGGAAGAGGTTTTCAGCCAGCAGGAACCAAATGCAAAGACCCTGAGGTGAGAGGGAATTTTCACCTATTCAAGAGGCCCCTGTGGCTAGAGCATACTGAAAGAAGAGTGATGGGAGACGAGATCAGAGTGGTTAGCAAGGATTAAGTAACATGGAACCTTACGTTGTGTGCCTTTGAGTCAGTTCCGACTCAGTAGCAACCCTGTATGACACAGTAGAACTGCCCCGTAGGGTTTCCTAGGCTGTAATCTTCATAGAAGCGGGTTTCCAGGTCTTCTCTCCTGCGCAGTGGCTGGTGGATTCAGTGGTGAGTTCAAACCACTGACCTTTCCCTTAGCAGCAGGCTGCTTAACCATTGCACCACCAGGGCTCCTTTGGAACCCTATAGTCCTTGGTAAAGACTTTTGTTTTTGTTCTCTCTGTAATGAGAAGCCATTGTAGGATTTTGTGCATGGGTGTGACATCTGATTTATGCTTTAGATGACTGGCTGCTGGGTGACTAGACCAGGTGGGAGGGAAATGAGGAAACTAGCTCATAGGAAGCTTTTGTAGTAGTTAAGTTGAAATATGGTAGTTTGACCTAGAGGTGTAGAATTAGAAGTTAGTGAAAAATGGTCCAATTTGGAGTGTAATTTGAAGATGGAGGCAGATAGTCTTGTCTTAACCCATAGGATTTTACTTTTTTTTTTTAAGCAGTCACTGTTTTGCCTGAGCATCTGGATGAACAGTAGTGCCATTTACTGAAATGAGGAGACTGGGGAGGGAGCAGCTTTCTGAAAAATAATCAGAACTTCTGTATGGAACTTACTAAGTTTGATAACTATTAGGCAGTGGAGTGAGTGTGCAGTTGGACGTCTACGACTGGAGCTCAGAGGAGAAGTCAGGCGAGGGAGATAATCTGAAAGTCCTATTATAGATGATACTTAAGACCTATGGACTTGAGGACATCAAGTAGACAGTGTTATTGGAGATAGGGCAGACCACTGGGAGCACTCCAGTCAGAAGAAGCAAAGCAGCAGAAAAGCAGAAGGGTGTGACATCTGGAACACTAAAGAAAAAACAATGTTTCAAGAAAGAAGGAGTAGTCAGCTTTGTAGAAGGCTGCTAAGAATAAAATGAGGATTAAAAACTGACCATTTGACAAAGTGAAGTAGTTGGAATTCTGTTAGAGTCCTCTCAGTGGACGGTTGGGGCGGAAGTCTAATTGGAGTGGGTTAAAGAGAAATGGGACGGGTGTGTGGGGGGGTGTTACAGCATTTTGGTTGATGGAAATAATGGCAGGAGCAGAGTCCTTGGTTAGATGGTGAATTGGGGTAGAGTGAATGGGGGTGTTTAAGTGAAGGATTAACCTTGGGTAGGAAGGTCAGTTTTTATTCAACTTTCGACACAGGAGAGAGGACAGAGTGTGTGATATACAGATGCAGGTAGACTGGAGGTGGAAAGACAAGGTAATTGAAGTGATTTGTTTCATTCTTAGTGAGATAAGTGACTTTATCTGGGTGATGGGGAGAAGGGTGTTGGAGGTTTAGGAGAAGGTGTAATTTTCTCAGAGTAGCAAAGCCAGTTTACTTGGGTGATCACAACTCCAAGTGCCTGTTTATAGTCTGTGGTCATAAACTTAAAGTTGAGACCAGTCAAATCGGTTGTTTTTTCTCCATCCGCATTCAGTTCCTTGGTTGAGGCCTGAACTAAGCAGAGAATTGAATTTAGCCAGGATTGGGATTTTGGCAGGTAGATAAAGCAGACGAGTAGAGGGCAGGGGAGAGTTAAGGGTACAAGACATTTGGTTTTTCTATTTATTTGTAGCCCGTCATTCTAAAGGTTCTTTTAAATTATTTTATAATATACATAACATAATCTGTAATTCAACATGTACTATAAATTGAGAGTGTTTGCTCATAGTTTTTTAAACCAAAACAAAGGAGTTTGGATAACATTGTCTATTTATAGGGAGACGAGGCAGTTTACAGGGGTGAAGCAGCCTGACTCATTTGGAACACACATAGCCCTTAAGTTCTGTTTTGGGAGAAGGAGAGGCGACTCTGCTTAATAAAGATAAGTTGGAAGTTATAGGCAGTTGTTGTAGGGGGAGAAGGAATTCCATTTCAGAGGGATTCAGTCATAAAATGTTATAGCTGGAAAGAACTTTTAGACACAGTTTAGCCCAGTTCCTTCATTAGGGAAATGAGGAAACAGAAGTCTTGCCACTTAACCTTTCTGGGTCTCCAGAGGAGTATCTAGCAGAGAGTAGAAACTCAGATGTAGGGATAGGTTTGGGTCAACATAAAATAGCCAGTGAGATCATTTGAGAGGACTAGTACCAGTTCTCAACTTCTTTATGGTTAGAGACTCCTTAGAGAATATAATGAAAGCTATGGACACTTCCTTTCCCCCTAAAAAAACAAAAAACAAAAAAAACACTGTACACATACACAAAAGTATATATACAAAATCAAGGATCCAGGATTCTTCTGTATCTTATCCATGAACCTGTAGGGATGGGAGGACTGCAGGTGAAGAACCCACTAGAACGGGATCAGCAAACTATGTCCCAGAGGTCAAATCTGTCAGCATCTGTTTTTGTGCTGCCCGCAAGCTAATAATGTATTTTACATTTTTTAATGGTTAGAAAAAATTAGGAAGACTGCCAGGTATTTCATGACGTGAAAATTATGTGAAATTCAAATTTTTGTGCCAATAAATAAAGTTTTGCTGGCACATAGTAGCCACACTCAATTTATGTCTTGTCTGTGGCTGCTGTTTTCATACTCCATTAGCAGAGTTGTGTAGTTGTGACAGAGATATTATGGCCTATGAAAGATAAAATATTTACTGTCTGGTCCTTTACAGAAAGTTTGCTGACCCCTACACTAGAATGTAAGTTCCAGAGGGCGAAGTTCTTTGTTTTGTCCAAGGATTTTAACCCAAGTATCTAGAACAGTGCCTGTCACATAGTAGGCGCTCGGTACATATATGAATGAGGGCATGAATTTCTGGTTTATAAATAGAATTGTAATGGCTAGTGTTTTAACGTGTTTACTGTGTGATAGGCACTGTTCTAAATGTTTCATATATAAACTCTTATTTTTCAAAACAATCCTATGAGACCAGTTGCCCATTGCATTGACTCCAACTCATGGCAACCCCATGTGTGTCATAGTAGAATTGTGCTCCATAACCCTATGAAGTAGATGCTGTATTATCATTTTCCAGTTGAGGAAATTGAGGCTCAGAAAAGTTAGATAACTTTCCCTAGATTACATGACTAGGAATTGGCAGAGGAGGATTCTAAAGCAGGCTGCTTTTAAGTACTACATTATGTGAATGACTG